TTAGTGAGGATGTAATAGTGGCGCATGATGAAAATGTTCATTTCTTTGGTCCACGTTTTACGTGTGCGCCGTCCACCTTGGGCGGGTGCAGTAATTTCAGCTGAGATAGCCTCCTGCACAACGTCCCTGGCGGAATGAAATGATAATGGGGATGAATTGGTTGAGCTGGATTGTTGATTGTTAAGATATGATGCTGGTGATGAGGGGATGGATGAAAATAATGATGATGTTGGTGAAGAACATGTTGACGATTGAGCATGTTGTGCTGCAACAGCTTGTGACTGGGCAGCTTGCGATACGGTGCCCTCCCCAGAGTACGAAGGGCAGCCCGGGCTGGAGGGCCCGGGGCGGGATTCTCCATCGTTGTTAACTCCGGTACCCGCCTGGGGTATTACTCTACTTCTTAGTCGCATCGCATATATATGAGAGGGTTTTTTTTTTATTTTAATGAGGGATGGGCAAGGGTAGATATCGCGACAAAATAAGTAGAAAGAAGAAAGAGTTAAAGTCAAGGGAGAAAACATAGACTGAGGAAATGACAGGGAAAATTAGGAAAATAATCCATTTGGCCTGTGACTGGATCAAATGCATTGGTGATTGAGGCCGTTAGTTGGAAGGGTATCGCCGAGGTGTTAGTGGCTATAATATTTGTATCTCCGTTAAAGGGTGGGTCTAGCTCTTAGTGACCTAATTGTAGTTCATGCCTTCCGTAAGCCCCCCCACCACGTCAAGGTGGCCCCTTAGGGGGGTTATTATTATTATTATTATAGTAGGTAAGGAGTTATGCAGTGCGGCTACAAGAGTTAGAAAATATTTAAACTAAATTTCTATGAATCACAGTAGACCTCTCTCTAAATCATTAACTGCCAATGAGAAACTGTTGAAGATACTTCCTCTGCTAACATTGGTCACTTGTGAAGTGTAGTAACTAAACCTTTAAGTAAGAATTTATTTAAATAATATAAAAGTAAGAATTAGAACATATTTATTAACAGTTATTTTGTTACAGGTGTCGCACAGAGCCACTGCAATTTGTTCATGACAAGAAGGCAACGCATGCCCGGCCAGAAAGAAGGACAAGTGTACACATACCCCGCACAGAGGTTTGTTTTTAGATTTATATAATTATATAAAATTGCAAGCTGAAATGGCAGTGGGCCGGTCACATTTGTCGAAGAACGGATTACCGCTGGGGTTGACGTGTTCTGGAGTGGAGACCGCGTCTAGGCAAACGTAGTGTAGGGCGCCCTCCGTAAAGTGGCTGTCGCGGAGAACCTAACGGATAACCGGGGCTCCGGCTCGACGTGCAGGAGAAGGAATGGGGTGGTTTTTAGTCAGTAAGAGTCTGACACTCCCACCCGCCTCACCCAGGCGGGAGCAGTCATTCGATGATTTCCCCCCTTAAAAAAAAATACGTAAAGTGGCTGGTAGCGGTTGGATGCATAGAGCTGAAGACCGAGCTCAGTGGCGTGCCATTGGAGAGGCTTATGTCCAGCAGTTGACGAAAACAGGCTGTTGATGATGAAATATACTCTATGGGTTTCACCAGTTGCTGAACTTCTATTGGTCATAGTGGCCTGTAGCCTTCCCTCAACTCCTATTGGTCATAGTGTGGTTTTTATGGCATGTAGCCTTCCTCGATTGGGCTCGCTGCCATCGCAGCGGTAAGTCCCCTCTTTGAGGAGTGGCTTGAGAGACGCTACGGCGTCCTCACCTACCGCCTGACGCAGGTCCTCACCGGACATGGAAGTTTCGGGAGGTACCTGTGTCTGATGGGGCGGGAGGAAACGCCCGGGTGTCATCACTGCGAGGACCGCCCTGAGGACACGGTGGAACACACGGTGGGAGAATGCCCTTCGTGGGCTGAGCACCGCCGTGTCCTCAGGGAAGTGATCGGCGATGGCGACCTCTCGCGTCCGGGCCTAGTGCAGGCCATGATGCGGAGCGAGGGGGATTGGGATGCCGTCTCCTCCTTTTGCGAAGCAGTCATGCTAGCTAAGGAGGAGGCGGGACGCGTGAGGCAGCGAAGCGCTGCCTCCTCGCAACCCAGCCATCGCGAAGGACACACCGGGCGTCGGGGATCGCGGGACGATCTCCGGCCACCGTAAGCGCGGGCCTGCGGACGGCGAGCATGGGTGGCTCCCCGTCCGACCAGAAACAGACCCGAGCGTACGGCGCGTCGCGTTCCGCGCGCGCCTCAAAGAGCCATCAGACCACCACAGATGGGGCCCAATAGGGCCGATGCCGATTCGGAGTCGCGGAGAACCTAACGGGTAACCGGGGCTCCGGCTCGACGTGCAGGAGAAGGAACGGGGTGGTTTTTAGTCAGTAAGAGTCTGACACTCCCTTCCGCCTCACCCAGGCGGGAGCAGTCATTCGATGATTTTCCCCCCTTAAAAAAAAAAAAAAAGCCTTCCTCGATAAATTGACTATCCAACACAAAAATATTTAATGAATATTTACTCGTAGTTCTGGAGATTAATATAAGCATTCGGAAATATAATATACTAGCTTTTACCCGCGGCTTCGCTAGCGTCACAAAAGGATAGAAAGTAGCCTATGTGACATATACCAATACACACAGCGCCATCTATACCAATACTTTTGTTTTCCCTCGGGAATATCAAATTTTTTCGGGATAAAAATACCCTATTATTTAATCCAGACTTCTAACTTTACGTCTGCAAAAATTCAAAGCAATCGGTTTAGTAGTTACGGCGTGAAAGCGGAACAAACAAAAAAACAAACAAACTCACTTTCCAATTTTAATATTAGTAAGGATTCTTAGTTGAATAATATTTCATTTGGTAATACATAAGAAGCTTTCATATCAAAACTAGTAAACAAAATCATAATAAAAAAAAAAGTAGAATTTAATCAAAATTTTTTAAAACCGTTTATAAAGTAATTCTTCCTCATATCTAGATGGCGCAAAGCCCGCCGCCAATATCTAACAATGTCATCTACGCGGTGGGGATGGACGGGAGCCGCAGATAATCTTGACAATACTGGAGAAGGAGAGAACAGCTCCGGAGTGCCAGGCGATGCACTAGCTGGTGAGGACAGTAGAGACGGATCACAGACTGCTGCTAAGGACGATCCTAAGGTGAGAAACTTTAAAAGTAATGTAACAGGATTTGAAAATATCAGATATTTATGATGTGTCCGATTGTGTGCGATTTAAGTAATATATATGAAGTAATGAATTTTAGCTCATGAATATTAGCCTCTAGCATGGCTTGAAACTAGTCGAGTTCATCGTCAAATTAGCATGGCTTGAAACTAGTCGAATTCATAATAATTAATTTTGTATGTCTCACGAAAGTTTTATTATAAAAATGATGTAAACAATCGATTAAGATCGATAAAGATTATGACGATTTACCATTGTCCTCAGGAATGGTTCTACGATGAACTAGCAATGGAAGAAATGGAAACCGGTGAGGAACCGGAGGCTGAATCGGATGAGGACTACTATGATGACACATACGCGAACAGGCGCAAGAGACGTGGTGGGGCTACACCCACGGGTCCTGGTTCTCGGGGTGGACGCACGAGGAAGTCACAACCTGATGACACACCCGCCAAACGGGGGAGAGCTGTGAGTATGATATCTGTTCTGGTGTTGCATTATTTTTATGGACGCTGCCTCGAATTTTAAGGGCTGTTGGACGGCCACGGCCGCGGCAGTGGCGCGGGAGCGGCAGGATGTTATGCGTAAAAGCAAATAGACCGGTTCTCAAAAATACAGCGGCGCGGCGGCCGGCAACGAGCAGTGCACTCCAGTCAAGCGGTGCCTACCGCGCGGCCGCCGCCTCCCCGCTGCCCCCAAACGAGGCAGAGGCCTATATCTTATTGTGGTTTTTAAGATTGTGAGGAAATGTTATAAGGTTATTTTTTGGTGTTCTTCGTATAAAATTGTTATACGTATCGTTTGACTTACAGTACGACTGACGTTTGAGGTCTAAGAGGAAACCTTTGTTTAGTAGTTGACGTCTTCCCGCTGTTGATGATGATGAACCAAGTTTAAAGTTGTAGTTTAATTTTGTAATAGATAGTTAGTTTTGTCATGTAAATTTACAGCAAAAACCGTAGTAGATGATGACACATGAAGCCACAGAGAGTTCAAAAATATATTTAACATTTTAGCTCTTATTAATAAGAAAATGATTAATCATTTCAATCGTTCTAGGCTTTTCTCAGATTAAGTAACATTCTAGCTCCTAGAATCTTTCTTTACTACTAGCTTTTACCCGCGGCTTCGCTCGCGTCTCAAAAGGATAAAAGTAGCCTATTTGACATATACCAATACATACAGCGCCATCTATACCAATAATTTCGTTTTCCCTCGAGAATATCAAATTTTTCCGGGATAAAAAGTACCCTATTATTTAATCCAGACTTCTAACTTTACATCTGCAAAAATTCAAAGCAATCGGTTTAATAGTTATGGCGTGAAAGCGGAACAAACAAACAAACTTACTTTCCGATTTATAATATTAGTAAGGATAATCTCTAGCAGTCAATCTCCTTTCTTCTAATTCTCTAACGCCTCAAAAGGGCGGCAATACACTTGTAAATTAATTGTAAAAATACTCCTCTGGTGTTGCAGCCGCTACGGGCTGCGTCGATTACCTACCGTTAGGTGATCTGTCTCTTCATTCGCACATAATATAACTCTTTTCTTTTATAAACCACGTTTAATAAATCCGATTTCATTCCCTCCTTTATTGAAGTCTGTTGACTGTTAATGAATGTACTAGAACCCTCTCCTATTTCTGAAAACTGCATCAAATCGGTTCCGCCAATTGCGAGATAATCACGCACCTAATATATAATAATATAATAGATAATCATACATCCCTTTAATCCCCAAGCGGTGACCAGTGAACATTCCATTAACTACATTATAGACCTTATTTCCATTGTTTAGAGACTACTTTGATTATATGAACAAATTTGGGTACGATATTTCAACAGGACGTACAGGTCATACTGAGATACTCCTTTTCTCTTGAAGTCGATTAAACATATTAATGTTAAATCTACGTTGTTGCAGGGTCGCGGGCGAGGCAAGCGCGCACAAGGTACTCTTCCCTACGAGGTGCCCGGCGACAGTGAAAAACCCTACGGCTGTGAACGTAAGTCACGACGGAGGCACTAATATGCTCCCCGCCTTACTCAGGTCCTTACATGCATCCTGATGAAGACATATCAATGTTACTCGTTTGATGGCGTTGGAAATGGAATATTCTAGAAGATTCTTAGTACATGAACCGTATTGTAATGTATGAGAGCTTAATCTACTCTAATTTGTCAACCTTTTTTATTGGATTTTCGGCTTTATGTCACTATAATAAAGTTGGAAATCTAATAACGATATTTTACGGATGGTAGAGAAGGGTAGATTCACCTACCTACTGGCTTTTGTATATGGTTTTGTTCGACTTTTTATATATAGAAAATGTTGTCTCTGACTTGCTGTGACATGCCCATGATCAAAGTTATTCAACTTAAATGAATTTATAATAATTAATTTGTTAATACAAAAATCTTTAAGCATTCTTTCATTACATTTAGAAGAATTCTATGTTCTTGCCATTGGATTAATTAATTAAAAAAGAAGTATGTACCTTATATTCTAACTAGACCTCTTTTAAATGTGACAAAAGAGTTTCTTATACAATTTCGCATCTGTAAAATAATTAACCTGAGGCTCTAGACCTAACCAGACGGACCGCATTCCAACTCCAATCCGTAAATTGCAGTTATGATACAATTGAAGTGCAAACCAAACGCATAGTCCGATTGCAGTTCTATGGCAGTCGTGACCAAACGGTTGTCGACCAAACATGCAGTCCGGTTACGCGTTCTGCACTCTGATTGGCCGGCGCCAATTAACCAACCAATCAGCGCGCCGAACTCGTACTCGTTACGATTACTGTAAACGTAAAACAAACTCGTACTAAGGCCTCAGTTCTATTGCAGTCGTGACCAAGCGGTTGTCGACCAAACGTGAAGTCCGATTACAGTTCTATTGCAGTCCTGTCAACGGCATCCGAACTGCAATTTGCGCTTGGGTTGCACTTGAAATGCGGTCCGTCTGTCTAGAGCGTTACTTGAAAATTTTCAAAATATTTCCATTTCCAATACCAAGTCTACTGATACTATACAGCAGCACCAATCAAGATATATACCAATAAATAAGAAATAGATATAGATGTACATTTAGCATAGATATGTATCCCGCATCGAAAACAATAGTTAATATGGATAGACATTCCTGCGAACCCAAATATCTATTTGCAGTAGATTTGCCAGGCTGTTAACCGAAAAATATAAAATATTTGATTAATAACCATACACTTGCTCAGAGTCATATAATAATTATTTAATCCAGTCTTTAGCATTTGTGTTGTACAAATATGTTACTAAATACTAGTTTAACTAGCTTTAGTCTCTGAATTAGGTATTTAACGGACAAAATTAATAGCTGTTCTCAATCCATAACCTTGGATTTATCTAGGCTTCGGAAACTATAGAATTTTTTGGGTTGATATTGCTTATGAATATTAGCTGTTTATGAAGAACAGGTCCCTAGACAAATTCCACAAATGCTTGTGGAATTGGATTGAATAAAAATGCCATTGTATTGCATTAACATACAACAAATTAAGCCAATTTTTGTGTATTGCGGAGTGTCCAAAAACAATTTGATCATCTTCTGTATTATAAAAGGGCATAATAACTTTATTAATTAATTGCAACAGAAGTTTAAGGTTTATCAATTACTGCTTGGTACAATCTACTGTGACTTTATAAAATCCTAGAAAAACTAAAATGAATTTTTGCTCAACAGTTTTGTCTTAAATTAGGACCTGAGCATGTAGAAACTATTCAATGGTTACAAAAAACATAGGTGTGGTCTGTGGTCAATGTAGATGTACATAGTTTATGGTTAAAAAGGAATACTGGTGATACAGCTTCAATTTCTTTAATATTCAATTATGGAATCGATTCGAGCTATGTAATGTTCTGGTGCATTCGAATTTCGAAGCTTGTAATCGTAATTTATAAAACATTTTTAGCAATCCGTCAAATTGATCTAATTCTTGCTTTAAAATTATGATATTTGGTATTATTAAAGTATTTCAGTCAAAATTAATGGTTTCGGTTTATGAATCTATTTAAATTTTAATATAATTTAAATTTTATTCATTATTTTAATTCTATCTTACTTAGATTTCATTATATTATTACTTGTTCGGTTTTTTAATCTATGAGAGGTAAGGGGAAATTTATAATGTTGACTTTTTTTGACATTTCGAAAAAGAGTATTGAATTTCACTATGTAGTTGTCATCGCTACTGTCATAAAGAAATTGCGTTTTGCTCTAAAATTAAGTCAAAACGCAGTATTTAGAAAAATGTACCTGAATGTATCAATCACGGTTTGAAAATAACTATTAGTGTTAATTAGTAAGAAACTATTAAAGTTATCATTAATACGCATATATTAATATTAAATTAGGAGTAAATATTTTATTATTGGCAATAAAATTATCTATGCATAGAGTATATTTATGTATTTGATATATTTAGGATAGTATAAACATTTTAAATAGAACGTATACTCGCCAATTATGGTCTTTATTTCACATTATACAAGTTAGAATTCCTAAAATATTAAAGTTCTGATTTACACTCGTCTTCGTTAACAGTTGATTATCAACCCCGGTTTGGCTTGAAACTAGTCGAGTATCCTCGAAAAGCTTTCATAAGTATCTTGGGTATTTAAATCAAATTAATATCAACATGGTGAGGTATTTTTTTACATCTATGTTGACCACAGACTTCGGTATAAATAAATAAATTACGAAATATCATTGAAATAAGCATTGCATAGTTATAATAGTGCAGGGCCAATGAGTACTGTAATTTTAGCGATATAGTTACTAGGCGGGTGAAGGGAGACGTGTGTAGGAAGGCTTATTATTGCATGGCGGGCTTTAGAAAAAAAAGAAAGTAAAATAATAGTGATTTACATGCAGTTATCTACCACACGTAGATAACTGTATTAGAAATTTGCTTCTTAATCGTTTTTTTCTTTGTTTGGATATGAATGCGGCCCAACAAACAGCCGCGATCATCTTACCTGTAAGAAGGATCCTCCCATTCTGAATTAGGAAATGTAGCATATTTTTTGTTTTTAAATCTTTTGAATTAAATTTGTATAAAACCAGACAATGAAGTGATCCTATAATTGTAGGTATTGGCAGCTATACCAAAACTAACATATTAAAAAAAAACAATATTTTAATTTAAATGCATATGCTTGGTTGTATTTTAACTGAAGTCTTCCAAATAATAACCTCATCTCAACTCCAATAAAAATAGAAAATTTTAATGAAATTAAACACTCTTAACTTGAATACACCAGTTCTTCCAAATGCCAAGCAATAATAAGCCTTATGTCCTTGCAATAACTCGCAAATATGCCTTTTCATTGTTGTGTATGTATGTATGATGTGAATAGTAGTTAGCATAAGAATCTCTAAACACTATCGGAATTAATGAAATTTGCTAAATTTTTAGATAAATTAAAACTATATTACCTAGGACTTAGGGATGCATATTGCACGCAGTGTTTTGTAGAACGACTTTGAGATGATCTGATGAATCAGTCGTATATAAAAATTACGAAAATAAGTCATAAGGCTTAGTATTATTAAAGACGATGGTTTCACTGTACTCTTCGATTCAATAAAGTCGAATCTCGCATGTCTTAAACATTAATTTCGAACCTTTTGCGAGAAGATACAAGGGCCGTTTCAGGAAAGCTGGTTTTAATAAAGTATTTTTTTGGTCTGGCAATATTAGAATAATATATTTGGTAGGATTTGAATATAATTAAGTAGAAACTCGATTGTTCTACAGAACACTGCAGTTTGTTAGGAATTGGACGGTTTAGTGGTCATTATTTAACTATTTATGTTTTAACTATGCGGATATGTAATGCATTTAGATTCGACGTTTATTGTTGTTAAGGATCTTGGAACTCACTGAGGAGCATGGAGGTTGTGTTAAGAAAGTTGTCCTTTTTTTGGGCGTAGTATGATATAGGTAATCTAGTAAAATTTTAATGAAATTTCAGTTATCTCCATAGTGTTGTTGGTATTAGTAACTTGTAGGCAACTCAATAAGAGGAAATATTGATTTTTCTACTTAACTTCTATTAACCTCTTGAGTGCCGCCGGTATGTGAGAATAGAAAATATAATGTGTTTCGCGCAGATCCACGTTCCGGTAAACCACGAGTTAAACTGGACCTAAACATAGCAATACTTGTTTATAAACTTATATGAGCATTTTAGAAAGCTTTAGGGAATAGGAACGGGGTGGTTTTTAGTCAGTCAGAGTCTGACTCTCCCTCCCGCCTCACCCAGGCGGGAGAAGTCATTCGATGATTTTCTTCTCACAAAAGTTTATCCCTATATGGAAAAGGATTGAGCGCCAAAATTTGACGCTCTGTACTTAATAATTTCGAATGTAACATACTTATTTCGTATAGACACTCATATTATTACTACGCCCATTACCCCTTACATGTAGATGGCGCTCGTGTTTCTTTAAGTCTTCTATCTCTTCTAAATACTAGAGACAAGTCGGTATGCTTGAGGCCTTAAAATAAAAATATTGTGCTGGTTTAATATCGCGAGAAATATAAGTAATCGGTTTTCCGTTTTCTTTGAAATTTCTTCTTCAATTTTATTTTTTTATTGGACTTCAAAACATGGTCCTGGAATATATAGTAATGTAGGAAAATTTGGACTCTAAAATGTATGCTTAAATGGTCTTTGTTTCCTGGTTCTGGACTGATTAGTACACTAATCGAGTCGATGGAATAGTAATTTACACTGCAATCATGACCTTTAACTGAAAAAGAAACATCAATTTCCTTTAAAAAAAGTTTTAATTACTCTGATGATTTAAACCATGCTGATCACGTGATCCGTCTTCTTATTTGCCCCCAAAAATATTAATAATCTGGGACCATGGTCACTTAAAGTAGGTGCAATAATTTCTCCCATATTATTTATAAATTAAGCTAAAGTTACTAGTAGTTTAAACCGACGGCTTCTC